GTGTAAGTTCATAAGTCGACAGCATTGCTGAGTATTTTCTCCTTAAAACTGCAGTGAACCAAAGACAGTCTCAAAAACACGGTTTGAAATCGCTGGTGTTTCTGACGTCACAAACGACCTTGTAACCAATCAGATCAACGTGTGATCGTCAACCAGTGGATCTCTGAGCTGAGTGAGTGAGTGGAGGCGGGGCTCATTTGCATATTCATAGAACCGCGCATACTAAATGAGGCGAGGGTGTCGAGTTACATTCAAGATATTTTAAGACATGAAGAAAACAGGACTTTGACTCACAATAGACAGCTGGCATTTCATCAAAATCAGTCGATGTATGCAGAACTTATTACACCCTTCCTGTTTTCAGGGGCAGATATAGAAAATTATTTATAGGTTGGCATGAGGATTACGAGGTGTGGCAATGCCAAAGCAAGTGCTCATGCAAAGTTTTTGTGAATTTATGGCCTGACATACAGATACATGTTCATGACTATATGAAACAGTTGCATTACAATAAAAAAGAAATAACAAAATATCAATATCCAGGGCATCAACAGATTGTAAATGTCTCTGAGCTCTTAATCTTTACACTGTTAAAATTATGTTAGTGTGAAATTACAGTATATTCCAGGTTAATAATTGCACTAATATATAAGACTTCTCTTTTGCACTCTCAGAAATGTATTGTAAAATCTACAGTACTTTACTGACAATTTTAGTCAAGTTTTTACAATTGTACTGTAAAAAAAAGCTTGGTTTGACTGCGAGTTTAGCACAAAAAAATTACTGTTAACAAACAATATCATACTGTATTTCTATAGTGCATGTACTATGAAGGTACCCAGCATGCAATGCGGCATGAATAGATTATCTGTGCTGCTGAACATATTTTTGGTTCACTTTTAGCAGTTTGTTTTGTTGGTTTATTTTGTAATATTCAGAGTTTATCTCCTTTTTTTTTCATTTTTTTTTTGAGTGTCACCATTGTTGTTTTGTAGTATTGATGTATTGATGTCTGTGCATCATTAGGGGATGCTTGTAAGAAACAAAGTCTTGTAAGATGATGAGACACTGCAACGACTGACAGGCGCTGCGTCATATCATTACGCCTGCTGCTCTCATGGTACGGCATTGAAGTTTCTTGATTATTACGCAGGAATGAGAGTATAGTTCCTAGCCATATCAGCCTAGAAAATCTCAACTTTACATTTTCCGTCGGTCTTAGTGCACGATGTAACTACAGAAGAGTCAAGTTTTAAATAGGAAAAATATCGAAACTCTTTGGTCATTTTTTTTGAGAAATGCTAATGGTCTTGTCCACTTCAATGATGTATGCTAAGCTATGCTAAAAGTGGTACCGCCAGAACCGGAGATCGGCTGAATGGATTCAAAAACGGTAAAACTCAACAGTTTAACTCTGGGGGAGTTGTAAAATGAGCCTATTTCCAAAAAAAGTGGAGTATCCCTTTAAAGTCGTCATGAAATCAAATTTTACCATTCGTATTTTTTATATGTAATATTGTAGTGTTTATTATAAATGATGTATCATTACCCTTCCCTCCCCCCTCGAAACGACTTCTCTTCTCTTCTGGATAAAAACTATTACTAGAGGGCGTGGCTATTGTGATGTCATCGTTTGGTTCGCGGGAGGCTCATATAAATATGGGGTGATTCCTTCCGGAAAATTTAGCTGCTCGTCCTCGTTCTCATCGTGGGGTTCCTCAATTAAAAATGCTTCATGGGAGGGTAACGGTGGGGAGTCCGGTGGAGAGAAATCCTGTAAACTGGCTGTAAATTGGCATTCAAATCTGCCTCCATTTTGTTAGCAATGCCCAACCTCCATCGATCCAATCAATCCCCGAAGGACGAAATCAAGCTCCGCCCTACATTTTTTCTAACTTCAGAAGCCGATTCACTCGGGATATACGTCACAATAGGAAAAAAAAAGACGATCTCAACTTCAGTTTCAAGACAAACGTGTGTTTTTACTTAACATGTTCAATTGTGGGATATACTCAGCTGGATTAATTCTGCTCCCAATATTTGGGATGTGTGAAATCTATCCAAAAATAATGTATACTAAAAATATTCATCTGATAGGCTACATCAAACAAATGCTGGAAAAGGCTAAGCTGAAATTGCAATATTTCATTTTTCATAAAGTATGACATAACTAACAATGTAGATAAAGTGTGTTACACATGCATTTGGTGGACTCATTTATCTGAAGCAAAAGCATGTTCATATTCATGCTTTCTTTGGGAATTAAACTCATATCTTTTTACGTTGATTGTGGCGTCTTAGAAAAAAGGTTCAATGGGGCATTCATCCTAAATATCGCTGAGAAAAGAAAAGAAAAGAAAAGAAGGAGAAGCAACTAAGGTCACGTTTGCAGATTCTCCATCACCAGAGAGCCTTGTTGTAGTTGAATGTGTGAGTGCTGCCATCTGGCGTACACCCCAGGAACTGCATCAGCACCATGGCCAGCACCCGCGCATGCGCGCTTTAGACCAAACATCTGTTCTTCATTGCTTCAATGTTTTTTAAGGTTATTTGCATTACTTGGGGGAACTTCATAGTTGTTGTATGGATGTCTCTTCTGATTATGTGTTATTGGATTTGTCTGTATGGTAATCTTGATTTAGAGACTAAGACTAAATTTGGGTAATTTTGTCAAAACGTGAAGTAAGATGATGGGGGGTTTGATCTTACTAAAATAATGCAAGTGCATGTGTCAAGAGCGAATAGGAAAACTTGTACGTCTCTGACGCTATAAAATGACGATATAGAAAGTACTTTTAGCCATACACGCATATACAGTATCAGTATTTGGAAACATTAAGATTTTGATCTCTTGTGCTCACCAAGGCTGCATTTATTTGATAATAAATACAGTAAAAACAGTAATATTGTGAAATATTGTTACAGTTTAAAATAACAGTTTTCTATGTAAATATATATAGTAAAGTGTAATTTATTCCTGTGATCAAAGCTGTATTTTCAGCATCATTACTCCAGTCTTCAGTGTCACATGATCCTTCAGAAATCACTCTAATATGAGGATTTGATGCTCAAGAAACATTTAATACTATTAGCAATGTTGAAAACAGTTATGCTGCTATTTTTTGGTTTTGTTTATTTTTGTGGAAACCATGAAACACCGCCATTCAAAGGTTTGGGGTATATATATATATATATATATATAATACTTTTATTCATCAAGGACGCATTAAATTGATCAAAAGAGACAATAAAGACATTTAAATTGTTGCAAAATATTTATATTTCAAATAAATGCTGTTCTTTTAGAATCCAGACCGAAATGTATCACGGTTTCTACAAAAATATTAAGCATGCACAAATGGTTTTCAACATTGATAATTTTTTTTTTATTAATGATTAGAACCATTATTAATTATTGAGCACCAATAATATTTGAGCACAAAATCAGCGTTTTCCTATAATTTTATGAAGGATCATCATGCGACACCATGGCCGTAGCCAGCTATGAGGTCACCGAGGTCCGGACCTCGGTCATTTTTTTACATTCAAAAATAAAATGTCAAGCTCTCTGAATGATTAATTAGCCGTGTTTAAACCACCTCATATGAGTGTTTGCAATTCATGTTGCTGCGAGAAGCTAGCGCAGTGAACGGGGATTGAGCGCGTTGTGTGAGTGAGGGCGCGAGTGCAGCCTCCGTGTTGCCAGATCCACCTAATGGAAAGGTGTCATAGTTTCCTGGACCTGTTTTTCTGATTTAACGTGACACTTTAGGAAGTTATTAAAGTGGAAAGTTGCATGTTAGGGTTAGTGATATATTAATCTTATTTCCAAAACACAAGCTTTGAACTTATTTCGGATTCTTATTATTAATATTTTGTTTTGTTTGCTTGTTTTTCGTAGCAATATCTGGCAACATTTTACTGTTTCTCAACTAGCAATCTATTCAGTCAGCATATTTGTGTTTGATCTGTGTGAATTACAGAAATATAAGACTTGCTAGACCTACTTTTTTCTATATTTCTTTGCACAAAACTCTCCAGAAAGTGCCATTTAATGGTTTATTTTTCAAAAAAAATCCTGGGGGGGCATACCCCCGGACCCCCCAAGTTAGAGACTAGCCTACACCACACATAATTAAATCCAAATTTAACTCCAAATTTATATATATATATAGGCTATGTCAAATTGCTTTTTTTTTTTTTTTTTTTTAAAGGGTCGCAGCTTAATGTCCATGGGGGAATGTGGTTCCAATGGCCTAACCATTATTATTGCACAATTCTTTACACAACACCCCGGACGGACCTCACTAATTTTAAAACCCTGGTTACAGCCTTGTGCGACACCACTGAAGACTGGAGTAATGATGAAATTTTTTTGCTTTGATCACAGGAATAAATTACATTTTAAATGATAGCCTATTTAAACAGAAAACTCGTCATCTGATGTTTCTTGTAATAGGCTAGTGTGTGAATGTTTCACACAATTCATACCGAAAAATGAAATTTAGCCGATTTAAACCCACAACAGTTTAATTTGATTCCACTTCTTTTCTACTTTCTTACACTTAAGTTTTGGACTGGAATTCAAAATGAATTCTCTACCTCCTCGATGAATGGCGCGCAACCGGGATAACGGGAGCGCGCGCGTTTCATCGCGTCGCGTCAGGATCCTTTCCGCGTCGCGTCGCGTTCGCAGTGTAGGTGTGTGTTGTGAATGAGAAAGAAAGGTCTGTTCTGCTGTGTTTCTGTAGCCATTGACGTCAGCAGCGCGAGGAGCGCGAGTCATCTCAGCGACCAATCAGATGCGAACAAGCAGGCGCTCGTCTGTGAACTGCCAACGCTTCTGATCAGAATGACAAGCCGAGGCTGAGCGCTGCCCAGGTAACACACACCGAGGATGAACGATAGATAAATAACAACAACCACGACAACAGAAGCCCAATTCTCCCTCAATCCCACAAAGATGCGCGTTGCACGGGACGCTTTCCTGAGCCTCATCTATACTTCATCTTCACTGGATGGACGAGGGATGGAGACACGCGCGCGTTCAGTGGTCGGTGCCAGTCTTTGTTTGTGACATATTTCACAACGAGTCTGTGTTTTATACAACAGTGTGTGTGTGTGCATGAAATTCTCACTTCAGCTTGATTATCAGCTCAGAAGCGGTAAAATGCCTCAGTTAAGTAGCCTCTTATTTGACATGCAAAGGGCTAAAAATAGCTCACTCTCTGCCTCTTTTGAAGAAATCTGTGTCAGATCAGTTGTGGAGTCTGGTATATGTTTTTAGTCAAGGTAAAGCAAGTCACATTCATTGCTGTAGCGCTTCTAACGATACAGATTGCTTTAAAGCAGTTTCACATTAGATTAATAACATTGATCAATTATGAATCAAATTCAATTTCAGCTGTAAAGCAGCTCTACAGAAGACATTATTCAGGTCAACGCACAAGTTCTAATGGTTTCCAGTAAAAACATCATTACAAACCATCAAGCGTTAACCATTAAACCATCACCTAATGGTTTCAGTAACAGTGTTTCCCGCAGATTTGAGCTCTGATCTTTATGTGTAAGGACACTTGCAATTGTTTTCCTTGATTTGCGATTTTTGAATGTGTAATTTCTTGTGGTATTGTCATTTTGTGTGAAACCTTGTGTGCTGCCGTCTGGTCTCTCTAGATGAAGAGAAAGCAGTATCTTAACGTGATTCTCCTGGTTAAATTAAGGATAAATAAAATAAATAAAAATGTTTTCCTCATTCTCCACGTAATTCTACGCCCTTGCCTAATGGTTTCAGTAACAGTGTGTCTCCCGCAGGTTTGATCTTATGTGTGACTCTTGCGCTTGTCTCCTTTTCAGTGATTCGCCCTCCTGCTGTAGCAATGAGTAACCTCCTCCTGAACGCTTCTCTGTTCGACTGGGATGTACTGGAGGGAAGAAACACGTCGCCTGTCCCATCCTGGGATCTGGAGCCGGTTCCCGTGATCCTCAACCCGTGGGATGTTCTCCTGTGCGTGACGGGAACGCTCATGTCGTGCGAGAACGCGGTTGTGATCGCTCTGATCTCCTACACGCCCACTTTAAGAGCTCCCATGTTCGTCCTCATCGGGAGTCTGGCGTTCGCAGACCTCCTGGCCGGCCTGAGCCTAATCCTCAATTTCATCGTAACCTACATAATTGACTCAGGATTCGTTATGCTGCTATCAGCCGGGCTCCTCATCACAGCCTTCTCGGCCTCAGTGCTCAACACCCTGGCAATCACCGTGGACCGCTACCTGTCGCTGTACAACGCGCTGTCGTACCACACCGAGAGCACGGTGACGTTCACCGAGCGTCACGCTTGTCCTGTTGTGGGTCGTCAGCACTTTGATGGGATCGCTCCCGGTCCTGGGCTGGAACTGTTTGGACGACGAAAGCACGTGTAGCATCTGTCGGCCGGTCAACAAAAGCAACGCCGCCGCGCTCGCCGTGTCCTTCCTCCTGATATTCGCTCTGATTCTGCAGTTGTACCTTCAGATCTGCAAGATCGCGTTCCGGCACGCTCAGCAAATCGCAGTACAGCGTCAATTCATGACTGCGTCGCACGCGTCCTCCACCACGAAAGGCGTCTCAACCTTGACCACCATATTGGGAACCTTTGCTTTCTGTTGGATCCCTCTTGCCATGTACTCGCTGGTGGCGGACACTCGATCCCCTGTGATCTACACTTACGCCACGGCTCTTCCAGCAATCTGCCACTCCATCATCAACCCCATGATATATGCCTTCAGGAACCCTGAAATACTCAGGTCTTTGAGGATCGCTTGTTGTGGATGCATGCCTTACAGATTCCCCATGCGACCACGGACACCCAGCGATGTGTAGCGTCTTCAGATTACAGCGCAGTCGCGGTAATGCCACATCTTTAAAGCACACCAGAATCCACATTTTGTAATCCAGTGGAGTGAGGAAATGTTTATTATTTGGGGAATTTAGTAGCACTTCATGATACACACGTACGGTAATGACATGTTACTGTGATTAATCACTTCAGTAAATCGAATAATTCTGTATAACATCAACAGTAGCTTACTTATGGAGCCCATAAAGTGACAAAATGAGATTGGAGGAACATTTCATTTCAATGCTTTTTCATTCCCACAAGAAAGTTCGGTAACGCTTCCTTTTACAGTACTTACCTGTACTTACTTAGAAAGTACTGGCTAATATAAGGTAAGTACATGGGTTAGGGGTAGGTTCAGGGTTAGTACCTAGTTATTACCCAGTAATTATAATTACTATAATAAGTACATAGTAAGTACATGGGTAACAGGACTGTAAAAGGAAGCGTTACCGAAAGTTCGCTTGCAAAAATTTCGTCTTCCCAGAGAAAATTCGCTTTAGAAAAACTTTAGTTATTAGAAATTAGTGTTGTCACGATACTGGACCCAGATAGCAACATAGTGTTGGTACCATGAAAAATATAGATATTCGATACCATTTTCGATACCATACTGGCATAACACCACCATACCAGCCTGTTCTCACGTAAATGCGTCTGTATAGCACGCATTGTGTTTTATCGTGCAATTTATACGCGAAAATGAGTTTTTACGTGCAATGATACGCATTTTTTTCGTGCATTTGATACGCATTTCATTTGCGTGTAATACACACGCACCCCACACCACTAATCCTACCCAAACGTATAATACACACGCACCCCACACCACTACTAACCCTACCCTAACCAACCCATGCGTATCCTATGCACGTAAAAACTCATTTTCGCGTATAAATTGCACGATAAACACACTGCGTGCTCTAGAGACGCATTTAGTGTGATCGGGTTGGCCATACAGATAATTGTATCAGTTGTAACAACTTACACACAGCACAAAAAGTCGTTTATTTGAATCGTTGAACTACATTTACAAAGTAAACAGCCAGTAATAATAACATAAGAACAAATTAACAAATTGCAAACGATAGCACAAATAAATACAATAGAACAAAGAATGAAAATAAACACGGCTTTAAGTTTTTCAGGTGGGTCCACAGTAATCAAATGTAAAATAACACTGGATAGTTTTCCTTGTAAATATTAAAAACAGATTAATGCTTACAAAAGTTATTCAGTCAAGAGCAGTGAGTGATTTTCTCTGTCTTTTGTCCTCTGTTGAACATTAATGACACAGACGGCAGCCGGCGTTATAGGCCGAGCGAATGCACCATTCCAACATACTGATACACAACATGCCTCTTTCTCAACTATTAAGGTCCAAAACTGAATGTATTTACCTCAATACTACCTTTGAACCAAATGTTGCATGTATTTGCCCATTTAAGCGCAATAAGCCATGACAAATAAGTCAATTTGGTTCTCGCAAGCTGTTAGAGAGGCCGCTTTATGAGAGCTTTAGGTATGACATATATACACTCACCTAAAGGATTATTAGGAACACCTGTTCAATTTCTCATTAATGCAATTATCTAATCAACCAATCACATGGCAGTTGCTTCAATGCATTTAGGGGTGTGGTCCTGGTCAAGACAATCTCCTGAACTCCAAACTGAATGTCAGAATGGGAAAGAAAGGTGATTTAAGCAATTTTGAGCGTGGCATGGCTGTTGGTGCCAGACGGGCCGGTCTGAGTATTTCACAATCTGCTCAGTTACTGGGATTTTCACACACAACCATTTCTAGGTTTTACAAAGAATGGTGTGAAAAGGGAAAAACATCCAGTATGCGGCAGTCCTGTGGGCGAAAATGCCTTGTTGATGATAGAGGTCAGAGGAGAATGTGCCGACTGATTCAAGCTGATAGAAGAGCAACTTTGACTGAAATAATCACTCGTTACAACAGAGGTATGCAGCAAAGCATTTGTGAAGCCACAACACGCACAACCTTGAGGCGGATGGGCTACAACAGCAGAAGACCCCACCGGGTACCACTCATCTCCACTACAAATAGGAAAAAGAGGCTACAATTTGCAAGAGCTCACCAAAATTGGACAGTTGAAGACTGGAAAAATGTTGCCTGGTCTGATGAGTCTCGATTTCTGTTGAGACATTCAGATGGTAGAGTCAGAATTTGGCGTAAACAGAATGAGAACATGGATCCATCATGCCTTGTTACCACTGTGCAGGCTGGTGGTGGTGGTGTAATGGTGTGGGGGATGTTTTCTTGGCACACTTTAGGCCCCTTAGTGCCAATTGGGCATCGTTTAAATGCCACGGCCTACCTGAGCATTGTTTCTGATCATGTCCATCCCTTTATGGCCACCATGTACCCATCCTCTGATGGCTACTTCCAGCAGGATAATGCACCATGTCACAAAGCTCGAATCATTTCAAATTGGTTTCTTGAACATGACAATGAGTTCCCTGTACTAAAATGGCCTCCACAGTCACCAAATCACAACCCAATAGAGCATCTTTGGGATGTGGTGGAACGGGAGCTTCGTCCCCTGGATGTGCATCCCACAAATCTCCATCAACTGCAAGATGCTATCCTATCAATATGGGCCAACATTTCTAAAGAATGCTTTCAGCACCTTGTTGAATCAATGACACGTAGAATTAAGGCAGTTCTGAAGGCGAAAGGGGGTCACACACAGTATTAGTATGGTGTTCCTAATAATCCTTTAGGTGAGTGTATATAAACTATATTTCAGTGCACAAAGTTGTAAACGCAATGTTTCTCAGGGGAATGCAATAGTTTTGCAAGCGAACACAAATATTCATTTTACAAATATTTAATTTTCTTCCCAATCTCATATTTTTTTCCATCACCTTGTTAGGGCTTCATTCTCTGTGCAAGCTGCTTCATACCAGAATACAACTGTACTGTAAAACTAACTATAGTGGTTTACAACATACTGTACTGTACAATTAGGGTGTTTCCCTGCCGTCGGTGTGAGGCATGCTGGGACATGTACCAGCAATCCTTTGTGGCCCTATAAAGCAGGAGTAGAAGATGGATGTACAACTATAGTTGTTGTTTGTTACCACAGTAATGGTGTAGTCACAGTAAAACTACAATCTCTGATCATTTATAAAATCTGATAACAACACAGGACAAAAAAAATCCTAATATTTATGAAATACTGAGGCAAAGAATACAATAGTTATAGCTAAATAATAATATCCAGTACATGCAGTGATTTCAAAATCAGTCAAACTACAGAAACGCCTTATGAAGAACACACATTTTCATCACAGAAAAGTCTGAGTGCAACAACAACACAAACAAACGTTTTCCACAGAAAAACACCATTGCACTTCAGGACAGTAATTCATATAATAAATACCGTTTTGTGGCTCTTTAATGTGTCGCCTGGTAAAACGATCATCTCTTCCTCTTTACTACTAGTTATAGCACCAAATAAACACCAGAAGGTATGTTGTTTCAACCATGGAAAGACATCAAAATACACACAATTTTTCAAGTTCAAGTCCACCAACGTTAATCTACTAACTCTCCGGCGGAATGGCGGATTCAGCGTTATGATTGGCCAGATCGCTCGCCTGTCAATCAAACTCAAACTCAGCAGCACCACCAAATAATTACACATTAAATACATGTTGTCCATTATAATCAGAATGTGAACGCACAGTAACATGAGCGCTGTAAGGTAAAGATAGACCTGCAATTTCTGTAGTGATATAAGTGGATATATGCATTTACACAGATAATCAACTAGTAATGTGGTGTCCAAATATGAATCATCATCATCAAACGGGTATATAATTATCCAAATGTAGCATACACTTTGCATTGTTGCCTGCAAGCACGGCTGGTATGCCTGAATTCTTTACATTTCTTGTCAATACTATTTCTTTGCCATCAAACTAACCCCTGTACAATTATTCCAATGGCGCACTGAAGTGTGTGTTGTGCTATTCTCATCCTCCAGTGATTCGTTCAGATACCAGAACATGTGTCTCTGACAAGTTAAACTAGACGCTTATTAAATGCATTATGTTTCAGTTGAAGTTGTGTACGTTATTTATAATATACTGATATATATCGACGCTGATCTTCCAGGTGTGTCGTCACACCTAGTCATGTACTGTACGACGAGCAGACATAATCGTTTTCTGTTGTACACTGTTGATTGTTTTCATTTTTTATTTGATGCTGCTATCAATTGAATGTTGTGTGAAACTGTGAATGTGTGGTGCATTATGCCTTATTTGCACTTGATTTGATGTATTAAGCTTGAAGTTGTTTTGCAATCATTTACTACAGAACAGTTGTATGTAGGAGCCCACTAGACTACGTTTGTGTGTGAAGACATCTCGGTATCATCTGCTAAAAGCGTGTGTGATGGGATGTCATCAGTTCCCCTGAGACAAAATCTGCAATTCATTTCTGGTGAAGGCAGCCAAAGAACCAGATTCGTCATGTTGGATTTACTGAACTTGAATGAAACGACTGTGTTATTCTAAATAATATATAAGATTTCTGAATGTACCGTCTGTTGCCAAGAGTGCTGTGATTGTCTCAGACGTCCAACTTTGTATTACAATCACCCAGTCTAACATAAAACGTTGGTCTGGTCTTCATTCACAATAATGTCACATTACTTTTTTTTTTTTTCAGTGTAACATTTATATAGACGTATATTTTTGTACTTCCTTAGAAAGTTTCCCTCCTTGTGTGTTGAGAGATCACAGATTGAATCTATAAATAGCGTGTGTAACATTCAGCCCAGAAACACGGCTGTCTTCCTATGTTTGCAGTGTGAGACCGTCCGACTGGCACTGGTTCTCAACCTCTCTGACCTCGGTTTGTCCAGGAAAACACCCGGAGGCCTGATCTGTACCTCTGATACTTCAGTAGTAATAAAAATTCATACAAAAAAAAAAAAACATGATCT